TTTAATGATTGGCCATTTATATAGGTTTCTATTTTTAAATTATTAAAATAATGTTTTTTTTTTTTTTTTTGCATATCTTATTTCTTAAACTTCTTTTTCACTACAATGCTTTGCTAAGGCCAAAATAAGAAATCCAGAGTTTTGACTTAAGTTGTACAGGAGGGAAGAAGATAATATAGTTCTTTATTATTTTTTTTCTCTATTGAGTCTACAAAACTACATTGAATTTGTGTGCAGTGATATGTTAAAAGACTGGGTCATCATATATCTGGTTATTTATATGTAAAATAACAGAAAAAATGACATAAACAGTTTCAGAAGTTAGTTGTCATCGACACAAAAAACAAGACAAAAACGCTCACAAAAAGAACTTCACTTCAACATCACAATTCAGTATCACAGACAGTATTCAGCCATGCATACAAAGAGGCATGCAACCACCAGAGAACACACTCAGACCAGCTTAGCGTCAGTTCACATGTACAGAAGTGCTGCTACAACCATTAGTGTGGCTCTAACTGCAGGCATGAGACCAGCTTTGGGTGAGAACTACCTGGCAAATGTCACACATCACAGTACAACATTACACTGGTCCTCTTCTGAACTCTACCAAAGGTCTGGAGAATCTCACGCCTGCTATAGAAACTGAACACCACCCTTGTTAACCCTGAGAACAAACCGTCCACCGCAAAGCCCGTTTCACATTTGATCATGCGTTACACCACCGTGTGCTAACATGCCCCAGCCCTAGCCCACGTAGCATGCAGTCATTAAGCGGTACAAACTGGGCACGGGGAGAGTGGAGGTGGTGCCGACATGCTGAAACATAGGGCCACTGGATAAGTACATTGGATTGACATGGAAGACAGGTTTTCTATGTGATAGTGCTGACTAGTGAAGTAAGGAAGAGAATTGATTTATTATGTAGCAGTGTGTGTCACAGTGAGAGAGAGAGAAGAGGAGAGGATAAGAGAGAGAGAGAGAGAGAAGAACATCATTGTTATCTTGCCTGTCTGGTATATTTATATGTTATAACACTCCTTTTCATGTTAGCTGCAGTTAGAAGTTTTAGATATTAAATAACACTACAAGTATTCAAAACTGGTTAATTTCTCTTCTTTAAGAACAGATGATTTAACTGCTAGAATTTTTTTAATGAGAATCTATGAAAGTCTTAAAAATTACCCCTTTTTAAAGTTTGAAGTAGAGCCAGAATTTCTAGTGAAGAATCCAAGAATAAAATAATAAGATATAAGTTAATAAACTATGTTACATCTAGGACTTGGCAAGAAAGCGAGTTAGACCAGTTGTAGTTACAAGATATTACATAAAGTGCAGCGGAGAATACAGTGACTCAGTACTTATGGTACTTATCACAAGTTAAATGTTATGTTAGTGGGTAGTTTAAGACTGTTCTGAATGCTATTTGAGTATTATTTCTTACCCTGACTATCTGATCACGGGAGTAACAGGACACTTGAAGAGCATTCACAACCCGTGGATCTGAGGACTAACTAGTCTGCTGATCAAATATGGCTGACTCACTTCAAAGCTGGCCGAATAATCACCTAACAGACACTGAACAGATTCCCAGGCAGGATTACATGGCAAGCGTTCAGTGGAGTTTTCAAGTGTGTCAGCCATATTTGTTCCAGGTTGGGTATGCTCTCTTGTTGAATGAATGAACATGTTCTACCAATCACTTCGAATCGAGTTTCTATTATAAGGGAAAAATATCTTCTACAAATGTTTTTCTGCTTGTCATATTTCAGTCAACATAGTCAAACTTTAAAGATAAAAGGCAAGGTTTCCTCTTTATTAAAACAATCTCTGCATTTAAAAATATC